GGGCTATCAGTGTTTTAAGGGGGAGTCATCAGTCATATAGGGGTGGGCTATCATTGATTTAGAATAGTGCTATCAATGATTTAGGGCGGGGCTATCAGTGCTTTAAGGCGGAGTTATTAGTCATTTAGGGTGGGGCTGTCATTGATTTAGGGTGGGGCTATCAGTGCTTTAGGGAGGAGTTATCAGTGATTTAAAGTAGGACAATCAGTGTTTTAGGGCGGGGCTCTGGTTTAATTTGGAGGGGGCCTGTCTGTCCTTGGGTGGGGCTGTCAGTAATGTAAGGCAGTGTTATCAGTCATTTAGGCTAGGACTACCATTGATTTAGGAAGGGGTTATAGGTGATTCAGGGCGGGGTTATCAGTGATTTAGCATGGGAAACACAAAGGTGTGGTGCACAATAGTGCTGTTTTTTTTAATAATAGCCCTGTTAATAAAGCCCTTTTAATTTTATTCACTTACTATTTGAATGCCTTGGATTTATGATTCATGATTCATTTATCCAAAGAGCGCCGACATATTATTCACCCCTGAAGCACTTTTGTTTGATTTTGGATTTGTATATTTTTGCTTGTCTAGAAAATGTTTCTTGATTTTGGCGTGTGTGTAGATATTTGGGGTAGAAACAAGACAAAACAGCATTTGTGCAGTGTTTCCACCATTTGCTACTGATAGAAATGTATGTTTACCTTGCTTGTTTTAAAGATATGACGATGGAGGAGGTGAGGGAATATGAGCGAGCCACTCAGGAAGCCACCAATAAGAAGTTGGGGACATTTCCCCCAGCCATTGCCATCAGCGAGACGCCGCTGCCAGCCTGTGCCCGCAGCGGGCCGTCCAGCGCGCCCTCCACACCGCTCTCCACCGAAGCTCCAGACTTCCTATCCGTGCCCAAAGACAGACCGAGGAAGAAGTCCGCTCCAGAGACCCTGACTCTTCCCGACCCGGCACGCAGAGACTCTGCCTTCCGCCTTCCCAGTCTCTTTTCCTGGGGCTCCAGCAGCCCGCAGCCCGAGTAAACCACAGTTCTGGCCTTCGTTTAGCAAAACACATCACTGCAGTGTGTCTGTTTGACACTCAATCAGTCCCTCGCTAATGCTGAAACATATTTACAGTTTCCCAAACACTCTCACACACACACACACACACACACACACACACATACACACACACACATAAACACAAACACACAGAAACACACCACTGCAGTGTGTCTGTTTAACACTGAATCAGTTTCCCAAACTAACACACACACATACTTACATACACGGAAACACACACAAAACACTCCACTGCAGTGTGTCTGTTTGACAATCAGTAAATCAATTTCCTAAACTAACACAAACACACACACACACACACACACACACACCCTCACATAAATACACACACGCGGAAACACACACAAAACACACCACTGCAGTGTGTATGTTTGACACGCAGTGAATCAATTTCCCAAACTAAAACACACACACACACACACACACACACACTTACATAAATACACACACGCGGAAACACACACAGAAACACACCACTGCAGTGTGTCTGTTTAACACTGAATCAGTTTCCCAAACTAACACACACACACACACACAAACTTACACACACAATACACACCACTGCAGTGTGTCTGTTTGACACTCAGTGAATCAGTTTCCCAAACTAACACACACACATACTTACATACATATGTACACACACATACACACACACGGAAACACACACAAAACACTTCACTGCAGTGTGTCTGTTTGACAATCAGTAAATCAATTTCCTAAACTAACACAAACACACACACACACACACACACACCCTCACATAAATACACACACGCGGAAACACACACAGAAACACACCACTGCAGTGTGTCTGTTTAACACTGAATCAGTTTCCCAAACTAACACACACACACACACACACACACAAACTTACACACACAATACACACCACTGCAGTGTGTATGTTTGACACGCAGTGAATCAATTTCCCAAACTAACACACACACACACACACACACACACACACACACACACACACACACACACTTACATAAATACACACATATACATGGACACAAACATACACACAAACGGAAACACACATTAAAAAACACCACTGCAGTGTCTGTTTGACACTCAGTGAATCAGTTTCCCAAACTAACACACACACACACACATACTTACATACATGTATACACACAGACATACACAC